GATGCCTTCACCACACAGTGGCTGGTCAGGGACCTGCGAGGGAAATCCGAGAAGGAGTTCAAGTGAGTTGCTCCTTCTTTGCTGTCCCTCCCAAAGACGGCTATGTTGTCTTGTATTCATGCCGTTTTCTCTCCCTTCCTCCCTGCCAGGGCCTATGTATCTCTCTTCATGCGTCACCTGTGTGAACCTGGCGCAGACGGGGCAGAGACCTTCGCTGATGGCGTCCCGCGTGAGGGCCTGTCACGCCAGCATGTCCTTACACGCATCGGCGTCATGTCTCTCATTCGGAAGAAGGTAACGGGTTCCGACACTCTTCCCTGCTACTGTGCGCAAGTTTGCCTTCGAGGTTCTGACGTAGCCCTGGCCTGTTGGATCAGGTCCAGGAGTTCGAGCACGTCAACGGCCAGTGGTCCATGCCCTGGATGATGGAGCTGGAAGAGAACAAGAAGGCGGCCCGGCCTGACTCTCCTGGGAACCCCAAAACACCATCAACAGGGACGCCGGCAGACACCCAGCCTAACACACCCGCCCCGGGTAATCACACCCTTCCTTGTTGATCTTAAGTGGTCACGTGACCTGCCGCCATCGGCTGCTTCTCCCCGCTGTTGTCATTAAGTGCTTTCTGTGCTGAAGGTTACACTGTCCTGTCAGTCTGCTTCCATACAGTTGTAACACCATTTGTGCCCCCCCTCCCCAGCCCCTAAAACGCCCCCTACTGGCACACCTGCAGACACGCAGCCCAACACACCTGCCACAGGTAATGGACACAGGCCTAGTCACACGCACGCACAGCTCTGCAGTGTCCCCTGATGTGGTGTAGCGTGGGTAGATGTCATTGCTTGTATTGTCGCCTGTGTAGAAAGACATTGCTCATTGGCTGGTTGGAAAAAAAAAAAAAGTGAACCACTTGCCATTAGATGGCCGCCATAAAGGGTGTTTGTTTTGCAGAAGACCCATTGAAGTCCGAAGACTCTGTGAAGGAGGAAAAGACTGATGGAGGAGAAGACAAGGAAGGGAAGGAGTCCAGCAAGACGCAGGAGCCGGAGGTGATGCGTCTTTCTGACCCCCGCTCTTGCCTTTCTGCCAATCAGCAGGCACCTTCTGAAGCCCTCACTTTCCACATTCAGATCATCGAGATCCCAGATGAGAAGGAGAAGCCCCCTTCCCCACAAAAGAAAGAGGAGAGTGAGGTGGTGGAGAAGGATGGAGTGAGTGGCGAGGTAGACAGGGAGAAACAGGAAACCGAGAAGGAGAAGCTGATGGAAGCAACAGAAGAGAAGGGCTCTCCCAAAGAGGTCAAGGGTGAGGGGTCAGAGGTCAAGGCCAAACAGGATGAGTCTGAGGCAAAAGGTAAGATGGTCGTATCACGTGAGGCTGACACTTCAAGCTTTCACTGCTAGGTTTCTGGGTTTCTGAGACTATCCTTCCTGCCTCCCTAACATGTTGGCATCCAGCAGAAGAAAAGAAGGAAGAGAAGATGGACACGAGTCCTCCTGCTGATGAGAAGAAAGGTAGCTTCCCCCCCACCCCCATGTCTAACATGCTGCTTTGTGCTGGGAGGCACCTGTTACTGATCCCTCTCCACAAAAAAAAAAATACAGATCAAAAGGATGACAAGGACAAAACTGAGGAGCCGGCCAAGCTGCAGAACGGGGATAGTGCCAAAGATCTGGGCATGGCAGGCACTGAGGAGAAGAAGAAGGCCGCCAAACAGCGCTTCATGTTCAATATCGCCGATGGCGGATTCACAGGTGCGAGTCAGAAAGGCCCCTCCGGCTTTTTCTTTGCACCATTGCTTGGGTTCTTTTGGGATCTGTCTGGAAGCTCACCCTTACCCCCTGGTGTTGATGTCTGGGTTTTCATGAAACCCCTTCCTCCCCCACTCTCCAGAGCTGCACTCCCTGTGGCAGAATGAGGAGAGGGCTGCAACTGTCACCAAGAAGACTTATGAGATTTGGCACCGTCGGCATGACTACTGGCTGCTGGCTGGCATCATCCAGTATCCTTCCATCCATGGCCCAGTAACTCCCATGGTGTGCGGCTCTTTGTGTTGTTCATGTGGGGTCTTTCACTCAGGACTGTGTGGCTGTCACAATGACAAAGGCCTGTTTCACTAGGGCTGAGCGTAGAGATTGAGATGGTTGGTCAGTGTGTTGGCTCCTTGACCTGATGCCCTGCAGACATGGCTATGCCCGCTGGCAGGACATCCAGAACGATGTGAAGTACGCCATCCTCAATGAGCCTTTCAAAGGTGAGATGAACCGGGGAAACTTCCTTGAGATCAAGAACAAGTTCCTCGCCAGGAGGTTCAAGGTATGTCCCACAGCCCTCGCACCTCCCCTGCCCGCATTCCTCAGAGCCGTGACTGGAGTAAGCAGCCGCTCAACCTCATCCCCCTATGCCTGACAGCTCCTGGAGCAGGCCCTGGTGATTGAGGAGCAGCTGAGGAGAGCGGCTTACCTCAACATGTCTGAAGACCCATCCCACCCCTCCATGGCCCTAAACACGCGCTTCAGCGAGGTTGAGTGTTTGGCTGAGTCCCACCAGCACCTCAGCAAGGAGTCTATGTCCGGAAACAAGCCTGCGAACGCCGTACTCCACAAAGGTAACATTCGGTTTTGCATCCGTTTTCAGACTGGCTGAGGTCTCACCCCTAGTTCCATTTTGAAGTGCTTTGCTAGGCTCTACTTAATGCTGTTCTGCATTTTGTATTTAGGACTTGGGTTCTCTTGGGGGACATATTTTGTTTGTCCAATGAAGGATGAGTTTATAGCATATACAGTTAGATACAGTGTGTCTCTGTTCTGATTGGTTGCTTAGTCAAACAGGGTGACTGTATGCTCATTGCGAATGATCCGCTAGACTAATGTCAATGTCACTGCAGTGCTGAAACAGTTAGAGGAGCTGCTCAGTGACATGAAGGCGGATGTTACCCGTCTCCCGGCGACCATTGCTCGGATACCACCCGTTGCTGTCAGGCTGCAGATGTCGGAGAGGAATATCCTCAGCCGGTTGGCGAGCAGGGGCTCAGACACGCAGACGCAGCAGGTGTGCCTCCGGTGCCCCCACATGCCGGTTATCATCTTTAGCTACACACCGCCTCTCAAGTCTCACAGGTCATAATCACTAATGCCAAGCTTGGGTGGATAAGTGGTGTCTTATGTCTGTTTTTATTGTTCTCTTTCAAGGTGACGCAACAGTAGCCTGCCTCAGGATTGCCCTCCCTCTTACTCCTCCACCTCTACATTCCTGATTGGCTCCTGGATGATGACATCACACCTCTGCTTCTTGAAGCCATGCCCCCTTTACCCAAATAAGGACATGCAGCAACTCTAAAGGCTGATTCCTGGAGGCAGTGGATATGATAGCAATTGTATTTTTTTCTTTGATGTTTGTTTCTTTACTTTTAATATAATTATTGTTATAATGTTATTTCTTTTAGGGACCTAAAATAAAAAGGTAACAATATGAGTGTTGTCTGGTTTTTGATGGTAGATAGAGGGTGAGATTGGGAACTTATAAGAATGACCCCAGATCTTCAGGTAGTTTTCTCATATTTTGGTGAATATCGGTGGTCATGCACTTGGTTGAATGATAAGTTGCAATATGACAAGATTTACAGAAGCATGAAGGAATTCAACCACCTTTGGAGGAACAAATGCCTAATTTCTGCAAAAATATGGCTGCTCTGCCTTTTGACAGGTTCTTTTAAGTGGAAAAGGATTTGGGTGCTGTGTTTTTTGTTTTATGCCTTGATGCATTCTTGCTGTGCATGTAAGGCTACTTTAAAGAACCAGGGGTGCTTTAGCAAAAGTGTATGTGTGTAAACAAATATGATGGCACGTCATTTGCATGTTGTCATAGGAGTCTGCTAACGGCAAGTGCGAACAGGCAGGAACAGGCTCATTTTAGAGAGCAGGCGGACAGAGCAATTTCAGGAAATTATAGGGTGGGAGTTTGGTGGGGGGGGTTGCAATTTAGCAAGCAGATAGCTTATCGGAGGACACATAAAGGATGACGGCAAAGGAAGGGCCCTGCTTAAACTGTCTAGGGAGCCTGTGGGACAGTTGGGTGCTGGCAGCGAAAACAGGCTGCCTGAGGCGCCCTGCGTAACGGTGTTCACGAAGAGAAGAGGGTCATAGTCCATCCCAGGAAAGAAGTGAAGAGGAGGGAGACTCTTACCGTGTCACCTGGGTGAGAGGCTCCTCTTTGCCGGTTCTGTTCTTGTATTTCCTGGGGGGTGAAGATATTTGGGTGTGTCCCTCCCCCATTTACATATCTCACCCTGCTTAGGAACAGGGGGGGGGGGTCCACGATTCAGGGGGGAAGTGCCATTTTAAGCCAAAAATTGGCTTAAAATAACCCCTCAAAGGAAACTTTTGGTGGTGTATGTATGGTTTGGAGCTGTGATAACTTATGTTGTGGGCAGTATACTTCCAATATGTACATTTGTTTAACCGGCACCCAGTCAATTAAGAGCACAACTGAATAGACACAGCCTTATTCTGTGGCTGTCAATTGTGTACAAAGTCCCTTTGCCCAGGGTGCTGAAAGCTTGTTTGCTATTCAAATGCCCTTTTGTAATGTGAATTTGAATTAATATCTTTTACTGCTGTTACCTGAATAACCATAGCATGGCTTGATGAATACAGTATTTGAATTCCCATTTGTATGTTCTGAGCATATTAAATAAATGTATTATCTCTAATAATCGTACCTAGCAGAAAGAGGAACCTGCTAGATACGGGCTGGCTTTTGACTTGAGGAGGAATGGACTGCCATTTTGTCTTAGGATTATGGGAGATGTAGTCATACACTGAGGTACAAGCTTTATGGTCTTCTGCAAGTTTTGTGAAAGGTGCCATAGAGCTCTTCAACAATGGCCGAAAATCCGATGGCTGTTTGTAATAAAGAGGAAGTCATGGAGGATGGCAAGCTCACAAACATATGTAACAAAATACCCAGGGGGAAGGGTAACCCTGGTAAATAAGGAAGTTATCTGTTTAGATGAACTTTGCTTTGGATCAAAGCAGCAAGCTTTTATTACCTGGGAATAGCTGCTGAACCTTGCTGGTGGATGAGACCAGCAAGAAGCACAGACAGGTGGTGGGCCGTGTGTGTGTGGAAGCCAGCAGAGAGTGTCATGGATGGTTAGGGTAAGCGAGGTGATTTTCCTTGCTGGACCTTAGCTGCTGGATTTATTTACTTCTGCACTGTAGCCATGGCTGTGCTATTATTTTCTTTCAGTTTCACTTTTGACCTTTGCAGGTAGCTCGCTCGCTTGCTACGGTGGTAGTACAGCATAGTGGTGTTGGATTATGGCAGCAACAGGAACACCGAATGAAACCTCAACAGAAGACAAAGAATATAGGGATAAGGACTAGATAGCAAATGAAGAAAAATAAATGCAAAATACATTCAAAATACAAGACTGATTGACTAGAAAGTCCCTTCTCTGTGCTATGAGGCGCTGTGCCGTCAGCCATTTTGTCTCTGTTACTGTATGTGTTGTTTTCACTCTTTAGTGAGAAAAGCCACAAAAAGGAAGGAAGGAGCGTGCCTAAGAGAGAGACGGAGAGAGGGAGGGAGGTACGAGAGGAGTAGGGCTCCGAACGGCGGACAGAGAGCTGCTCCAAGACATTTCAGGACGTGGAGACGGTAAAGCTTTAGATTTTACATTCCTGTACTTAGGGCAGAGGTAGAGGGTATGGGCGAGGTCAGTGGGTGGTAGGAGGGCGGAAGGATGGAGGTGAGTGACAGAACGTGAGGCTTGGGGCAGAGGAACAGAGCAAAAGGCGCAAGTGGCAAGAGTTCGATATATAACACAAGAAGAAAGAGGAAAGTGCCCGTGCCTTTGGGGATAGCCATCGGGGTTCGATGCAAGTCAGATGCGGTGTTCATTAAATCATGAGTACGTTGCTTTTTGCCAGATAGGTACAGCTAAAGCTCACAGAGCCATGATGAACCATATGCAGTACAGCAAAGAGGTGTACTTTGTTGTCCTGTGTTAAGCTGAAATTTTTGTTTTTGCTCTTCACATTGGCGTCTTCGTGTGCTCAAGTCTCAAAGAAATCCCATTTTTGTTTTGTTTAAGATCAAGTGAAAGGAGAAAATGGTTCGGTAAGTTTGAAATCGTCGTGTCCTCCCCCAGGGGTGCACACACTCTTTAAACTCTGGACTTTTCTTTCACTGCTGGGTTACCCTGCTCTCCTTTTCACTTCCTTTCTGTTCCCCCTTTTTATTTATTTATTTTTTTGCTTGCCATCTTGCTTGCTTTACTTTGCATTGCCCGTCATGGCAGGTGTTTGCAGTTGTGTGTGTGCTTGTGTTTGTGCACATTTTGCATCCAAGGACATCTTACATATGTGTGCATGAAACTAGGGAGAGAGCTGCAGGATGAACCCAACAGACATGCAGAGCTTGCAATGGGACTGAAATTTGCTTGTTTACCAGCAAGCAAGACTCTATATCTTTCCAATTACTCATTGATTTACAACACATGGAGGTTAATCTCATGCCATATGTGATAACCAGATATAAGCTGTCTGTTAGCCTTATCAGATCGCAACTCAGGACTACTGTGAAACTGCACTTTTCTAGAATGTAGATTAATAAAGACATTACATCGTAATTTTGGAGAAACCAAAAATTTCAATTGGATTTTTAAACATGGTTTTCTCAAGTGGATATGAATGTGAAATATTTGGATGTGAAAAGAAGAGCGCTTGGCAACATATATTATCTTCAAATTACTTTCAGTCATTCAGAATAGGAAACAGAGACTGGCAATTCCAAACCTTTTGGGATGGAGGCTGCTACACTGTTTTAAGTCGGGTTAGCTTTTAATTAATGTGCCTGGATTAGCTACTGCCTAAATGAACACACACAATTTAAGTTAAATCAAGCTTTTCTGAAAAATTTCTGTCCTTAGATTAATAACCGTGGCAGAATCGTGAAACAAACTACCACAAATACATGCATCTTAATAACAGTTTTATTCTTACTGAAATCTAAATTGAATTATGAATTAAGCACAAAGCACATTTTATTATTCATAAAAGAAGATGCAAAGGGTGCCTTTTTTTCAAATGACTTTTACTTCTCATAAAGCTCTTACATGCGCTCCTCCACTATAAGTGTGTGACTATAACAACAAATAAAATTTAAAAAGAGCTTCTAGCAGTGGCATTGGTTTTCCAGTTTAGATTTTATTGATAATTGACTAAAGGTCTCTGTGAATGAAAAAGCAGTATTTGGCTGTATTCCCTCATAGCATACTTCAACCTGGGCTAATCCTTCATTACTCTTAGTCAGCCACTACAAGTGCTGTACCTTTATTGAGTTTATAAGCTTATTTGCACATGCTGTTTGCACCCTACACCTTGTTGTCTCACCTATATTTCAATGTCTACATGTTAATTTCTTAATATCCCTTTATTTCTATCTTGGTTTTGTTTTTATTATATATATATATATTTATTTATTTTTTTTCGTGTGTGTGTATTTTTATATTGATTTTGTTTAGTTACTTTATACCACCACCTGCACCAGAACAAATCCTTTGTACTTTTAATTCTTGATGAATAAAAGGCTAGATTGTGATCTAGCCTGCCGTGCTCCCTGCGTAAGAGCAGCTGCACGCTGCAGGGATGTGGTCAATATAATGTTCAGCAGCATGTTCCATGGCTGTGAAGTGTGAATGGGCACAGTGTGGCCTGGCGGGGCACAGCGACCGTACACCCCAGCCTGAGCTCCACTCCCCTGTGCATCACAGGTGGTTCCACAGAAACATCTCCGGCCTGGAAGCCGAGACCTTGCTGAAGGCCAGGGGAGTCCACGGCAGCTTCCTGGCCCGGCCCAGCAAGAAGAACCAGGGAGACTTCTCCCTTTCGGTCAGGTCAGGACCGACGTCTCCTGCCCCGTCCCCTTGTACCTTGTCTTGCCTTGAGGAACATGAAGCATGTCTTTTATGATCAAGCGGCCTTTAGTGCCCAGGTTTTAAAAACACACATATCACCGTGTTAGGGGTTAAAGAGGGGGACCAGGGGCGGTTTCACATGTGGTCACACAGGTATCCTCCTTTACACAGGGTGGACGACACGGTGACCCACATCCGTATCCAGAACACAGGTGACTACTACGACTTGTACGGGGGAGAGAAGTTCGCCACCCTGTCTGAGCTCGTGGATTACTACACCACGGAGCACGGCGTGCTGCAGGACAAGGACGGCACCCTCATCGAACTCAAGTACCCGCTGAACAGCTCTGACCCCACCACAGAGAGGTGACCCGTCACACGTCACACATATCCTGCGCACATCTGTCCTGACGCTCCAGCCACACCGCTCGGCCATTACAAGAAGAAAATCTGCAATTACATTCAGCTTTACCACTGACTACCACAGATAGCGGATTTATTATTAAATATGTATTTATAATACATAATGCAGACTTTAACTGTAATGGCCTTGTTTTTCAAAGCAATGACATTGCAGTATCTTTACAAAATCAATACAAATTCTGAAAGATGACCGGCACATTATCTCTGACCAGCATGGATCTGTTCTATCTCTCTGGTGTTTTCGCCATGTGTCGATTTACTTAGCAGGTGACCAAATTGCTGCTCGCAGAAGCTAATCATTGCCTGTGCTGCTGGAATGGCAGGGACGTCCTGGATGAATATGCACTGATGCGTATCTCTAACCCTACATTTCCCAGTAGCTTGGATAGATGGATGCAGAAGGTCATGTTTATCTGACCCATCCTTTTGGATCGACTGGAATGTGGTCCTGAGGAAGTCAAAGTGTCAGGCAACTCGAAATTAGTTTAGCATTAACTAGCAATTGCTAACACATATGGCTTTACTCAACATCTTATGTAATATTGAATTAAAAAAAAAAATTAACAATGGGGCTTTCCAGTATTGACTTGCTATGTGCCAGTACAGGACAGTGTGCACCAGCACTCCCCCCCCCATTCCCCCTTTCAGTTGAACTGACTTCCCTTTCTGAGTGCGGTTGGAAACTTAAGTTTTGACACTTTTGAGCGCAATGACCAGATCCTGTATGTCTTCCTCTCCACAACTGTTCTCTCTGATCCTGTATGTCTTCCTCTCCACAACTGCTCTAACAGACACAGTTTAATATCACTCTATCACTGAATTAAAGTACCAGAAATGGCTTTTAAGGGACTGAAATTTGGTGTGGGATGTTGCATTTTGAAAGAAAAATAGTAGCAGAAATGTAGAAAAACCTGATCCTGTGATCATATTGTGATACATGAATAATTCTGCAACAGTTGCAAATAAGGACAGTAAAAGAATAATAAATGGAGAAAACAAGGGTAACTTACAATAATGTGCTGGAGGTGGTGAGCTTCACAGCATCCTGCAGCTAGGGCAGCAGCTTACCCTTCTTTCAAGCTATTGCGTGTCACTTGTGAGAAACCGGTGACATCTATTTTGGCCTTTAAAGGTACATCTGCTACCGATATGCTTGAAATGCTTTTTAATGACTATTTTCAGGTATCGTCAACAAAGCTCCCCTGTCCAGGAATCACTAACCTGTCCATATAAAGACTGAGGGAAAAAATGACATAGGCCACATTTTTAAATACCATAGCTGTGACAAAAATGCATTTTGATGAAAATGTCCATCAGAATTCTCTGTGCAACCTCACTGAAATGGGAAGCTCAGTCTTTGGGTGCAGCACAACGTTTTTCCTGGGCCTGGTATACATGGAGAGGTCTGGTGCTGAGCCCCGAGTATTTTAATACAAACTCGGAGGTGAGAAATCCTAACTATGTTGTTAGGCGAAATTAAAGATAGGCGAAGAAAGACTGAATCCATTGGTTTTCAGTATTCTGTGTCAACAAGGGGATGTAAGAAGATTCATGCACGCTTCATTAATAGCACAGGGCTATATTAGGCTGAGGACCCTCTCACGTAATTAACTGCTTTGTAGTACAAAAAGTCACAGCATGTCTTCCAAAATTAACATGAGGTCATTCTCCACCGAGCACTGTTGATTACTAAAAATATAGCAGGACTTGCACTGGCTGTTAGCCTGGATGGATTGTCCACGGAAGTTTCAAGAACATGTCTGAAATTTATAAGGCTGTATAGCTGGTTAAACTCAACCAACTAAATTTCACAAAAAAAAGTGATTTCTTGTGTCGTTGGTTTGCGCAAGGGTTTTTTTTTTTTTTGGTGGAAATTGAGTTTATACAGATACGAATGTATTGCTGTACTGCAAGCTATATAAATGCATTTTCAAATGTTAAATGAAATTCTAAATGAGTTTCTAATTAAATAAACAGTACAGTTTAAATGCCACAAATGCATGTGAATAGTTGTTATAGTACTGCCATGAAGTTGGCATAATCCCATTTATTGGATTACAAAAAAATCTAATTAATGCTTGGGCAACGGTCAATAGTTCATGGAAAGCTACAAAATGTTGCGGAGCCAAAAGACTGGTGTGTAAAGAGAGGTGTGGGGGGGCGGTGGGGGTCTCGGGCTATAAATACTTGTCTTGAGTCAAGAAATCCCGTCATCAGAATTTTCCGACCGCAGCACAGGAAGCCCAGATGAAGAAATAGAGAACTGAACCTAAATTTAGATGAAAAATACACGGCGCGTGTGAACAGTGCGAGCCACAGACAGCTAGCAGGCCGGCGGCAGTGACACGCGCACACGTCGTGAGCGTAACTGTGCATAAACAGTCACCGCACCAGATTTCATATTAATTCACAACAGGCCTATTTGCTTTCAAGGGTTTGTGCTTGTAGTTTAACCAATGAAAAAACTACCTGTGTAGCTTTAAATCATAAGGCAATGAAGAAAGTATGGTCTTTATATGGGAGCCCAAGAAAATGTCTATTTGATGCTGATGGTATTTTTTCTATGATACTTCTCTTACGCCTTGTTGAACATTATACTTCTAAACAGTGGATTATACTTCTGTAGAAATGACTCACCTCCAAAAACTTGTTATGCGTATCATTTATGTACTTTTTCCATTGTAGTTCAAGTTTCCTTACACCAATATAAAAGCTTTCATTGTGCTTATATGCATGTTTCAATGTTTGTGTAACTGTACATGTTTAAAAGGCCAGTTTGTAAATCCTTAAAGGAAGTTTCTGTTCTTCTTGTTGTTTCCTTACATTTTTCACCCTCCTCTGAGCACCCATACACTTATATCCTTGCTTTCTCCTGCCTTCTCCCTCAGGTGGTACCATGGGCACCTCTCTGGTCCAAACGCAGAAAAGCTGCTGGTGGGGCGCAAAGAACCGGGGACCTTCCTGGTGCGTGAGTCACTCTCTAAGCCCGGAGACTACGTGCTGTCCGCCTTGACCGATGAGTTTGGGCCCAGTGGGGAGCGGAGGGTCTCCCACATCAAGATCATATGCCAGGTGGGCAAAAGGATGTGCCGATCAATACTTAAATATCCATCCTTTCCATTCTGAATGTTTCATTTTGAGAATCGATTCTAATGCTAAGACTTTTTTTTTTTTTTTATAACCTGGTAATTTAAATATTTATAGTATTGTTGGGAGCAGGACATGAACTACTAGCAGGCAGGGTCAGCCATAAAGAAGCAGAAAGGGGGAGATTTTTCGGGGCCCGACAATAGCGACTAGGGAAATATAATAATTGATCTGTTGGCAACCACCCTGCCTCCTCAAAACAAAAGTGGTATCGCACATCCCTATTGGGAAACGGTTCAACAGACCCTACAGCAGCCTCTGGAAGCCTCCTAGCAGAATGACAGACTTGACAGGGGAGGGGGCTTTGATTAAATTAAGGCTCATTATGTATGTATTATGTGATCTCTCCAGTTTTACCCAAATTTCTTTTTGCAAACAATGGGGAAAGTAATTCAGCTTTTAGAAAATTATGCAAATAACTGTCAGTTCCCAGTAAACGAATACAAAAAAACAAACCCTGTTCATGTACGTAGTGTTATAATTAGCTTTTTCCTTTCTGCTTTTTCTCTGCCCATAATGCAACATTTGGGTTTATCCATCCATCCGTCCGTCCATCTCCCATAACTGCTTATCCCATAAGGGGACAGTTTGAACAAGAATACCACCCACATCTCTCTGATTTTAAGTAGTCTTGGCTGCATATAATATATTTGGGCGGGGAAATTTTAAACTCTCAATGCCTTATTTTTAGATCGCATTAAGGCATGTTAGTTATTACCCAATGAGATAATAGTATGAGCACAGAATTGAATAGAAACGCATAATATTCCTTCCTGATTGTAAACAACATTAAAGTTTAGGTTATGATATTGCACAAATCAGAGCTACAATCAAAACATTCACAGGGAAACTGATGCTACCTGGTTTATTTAATAAAAAAAAATGCCAGATGTTAGTGTACGTAGGAAAAAAAAAAATCATACTTTTGTTTTATTTTATTGAAGGCTTTTATTTCTACTAGTCTTTCATGGGGGCGGCACGGTGGCGTACTGCTGCTTCACAGCAAGAAGGGCCTTGGTTCAGTCCCGGGTCCTTTCTGTGTGAAGTTCGCAAGCTCACCCTGTGTTCGCATGGGTTTTTGCCGGGGGCTCCAGTTTCCTCCCACAGTCTAAAAGTGTGCAGGGTAGGCTGATTGGTGTGTCTAAATTGCACCTGTAGTTGTGTGAGTGTGTACGCCCTGTGGTGTGTTGGTGCCCACCCAGGGATGGTTCCCGCCTGCGCCCGTTGTTCCTGGGATAGGTTCCGGGCCCCCCCGCGACCCCAGTGGGGAATAAGTGGTTACGATAATGGATGGATGGATAGTATTTCATGTTAGTACCATGCATCGTTAATGCTATGTTAGTTCAAACTAACTAACATCCGAAGTACCATTGTTTCCCAAAACCATTGTATTTTGTTACTACGACAGTAGTTAAGACCACCATAGTTCGAACTACAGTGGTTCCAGGGGTTATTGGTCTGACTCACAGCGGGTCATGTTCAAAAACTCACAAACCTCGTAAAATTATTTATTACAAGTTACGCCGATATTACATTATTATTGTGTCAGTCATATAACATCAATAATAGTATTAAAAACTCAAAAACAGCAATAATATGATACTTATGATGCTTTTTCTAGAGAAAAAAAAATCACTATTAGCCATTAGGCTGCAATGCATTTAGTCACATCGGCTCTATCTGTAATTACATAATGTAATCCTGATCCATCACTCTTCCTAGAGTCTTAGTGGCTCAGTGGGATTGATGGGTGCACAAAACACCAACCAAATTTTTCGCCTGCAGGGCAATGGGTTCATATCCCAGACAGCACACATGTTGAAATGACACTGATTCCATATCAAACAAAAAAGTTAAAACAACGTTGATCTTCAATGTTGATTTAGCATTGATCTTGCTCATTGAAAAGGCCATCTATCCAACGTTGTTTGGCAACTTCTTTATCCATTGATTTAATGTTGAATTAGTGTATATTCAATCAATATTGGGTTATAATTGTTTCACAAGTGAATTAATGTTGAAATTATATCCAGCAGGGCTTTCTAAAGCTTAATAAAAACAACATTTACAAATATTTAAATGAAAACAATTTATTATAACACATATATATACACATTCACACAAAAATAGCACAATGGTAGTAATATGATAACAATCACAAAAACATTGAAGTGCTAATTGACCCTCCCAACCCACCCACACCCATTTCTGTTCATTTTCTATTTGCATATCGAAGCCATTTCTTTACAGCATCACTGAAGATATGATGGGTCACTTCCTTGTAGTGGTGCCGTAGAGCTTCTGATATTGAAGAGAAAATAAGCTGTCATTAAAGATTTAATGAAGCTAAAGATTTACAGTTAATTGATCAACAGTACATAGCTGAATTGTTTTTATTATTATTAATTGTTATTTAGAGGACAAAGTCACTGTAAATACAAATTAAAATTATTATAATTAAGCAATTGATTTTAATACACATCCCATTTCCAAAAACGTTAGGACGGCATGTAAAATGTAAATAAAAACAGAATGCAATGATTTGGAAATCTCAAACAATATTTCATTCCCAAAAAAACAGAGGAAACATATGTAATGCTTAAACTGAGACATTTTAGTATTTAATAAAAAAAATATGAGCTCATTTTTTAATCTGATGGCAGCAAAGTTTGGACAGGGACAACAAAAGGCTGGAAAAGTATATGGTACTAAAAAGAAACAACTGGAAGAAAATGTTGCGACTGAGTTAAGTAGCAACATGTCATTAATCTACTGAGCAAAAAAAGAACATGTTAGAGAGGCAGTCTCAGAGGTAAAGAGGGACAGAGGTTCAGCAATCTGCAAGAATATGCATCTACAAATTGTGTAACAATTTCAGAATAATGTCCCTCACTCTAACATTACAAAGACTTTGAATATCCCACCATATACAGAACATAATATTGACAAAAGAAGATCACCGCTCCCGTGATCTTCAAGCCCTCAGGAGGCACTGCATTAAAAACAGGCCTGATTATGTCATGAAAATCACTGCATGGGCTCAGGAAGACTTCCAGAAATCTTTGTCTGTGATCACTGTTCGCCATGCCTTCCACAAATGCAGGTTAAAGATTTGTAAAATGCAACTAGAAAACCCCTTGTCTCATGCTGCCTTGACATGCTTCCCCGAAGATAATACTTGTCAAATCGGAAAGAGTGCGTTCTGTTCAAGTAAATTAGTTGCGGTAGCTTAATGAAAAATGATGGGAAAACAATTCGCGTCAGCTAGCATAGCACCTCTGGATAAAAATGCTTTCAAAAATTATTTCAACTCGGTTATCGGAGATGGCACGTGAAGGCAGCATTAGCACCCTTGCTAGGAAATGCGACAGAAAGCTAGCATATTAGCAGGTACTCTGTAAACTAACCTTATGAAAAGTGTGGACAATACTTACTGAGGAATAAAAGAGCATAAACAAATACACGATCTGCTTAAAACACTGAGATCAATTAAAAAAAACATATTTAATTGTTTAGCCCTAATACCGACCTAAGACAACATTTACTATCGCTGATAAACCCTCAGCGCAATTCGTCGTTAAAAAACACGTTGAAAAGAACAAGTTTTGAAATATGACAGCGATATAAACCTACAAACATCCATTTACGACATAAAACATTCATGGCACATTTATCCTTTTAAAAAGTAGAATATACTCACGTATAATTGTCTGACAACCTCCGACGAAATTTTTCACACGCTGCTTCTTTTCGCGGCACAGTTTAAACTAGCCCGCCAAATGAACTGCGCATGCGTGAAAACGCGTCACCTCACGCCTGTATATTTTACTGCGGTTTCTTTGAATTAAACAACGCGTGTCGTCTACATTAAAGTATTATTCTTAAAACAAATACGGTGAAATTGTACTTTGTATATTATTATAATTAATACACACTAAAAAGACAAATGCGTATATCAATATTGATTTCACCACTGAGCATAAATTGATTTAGGCCTAATGTTAAAGAACTCTCCATAAATCAATATTGATTTATCATTCCTGAGCATAAATTGATTCAATGTTCAAGAAACCAGCACATAAATCAAGGTTGATTTATCATCCCTGATCATAAATTGATTCAATGTTGAATATTTTCAGTAATATCAATGTTGACTCAGCATCTTATTTTGAATGTTGAAAAAGTCACTTTATATCGACATTGAATCAAGGTTTTGCCACCATCAATTTTTCTATATTGGATATCTGACCAAAAATCAATTCAATTTCAACGCTGATAATTTAACGCTGACCATAATTCAACGCATTTAACTATAATTCAAGGTTGAAACAATAACATGGTGCTATCTGGGCATCCAAGCACCGCTGTGTTCATTTAAAAAAAAAAATGTTTTCATATTGCAACGAAAGCTCTCGGTGATTAAGACGTGATTGATTAATTTTTATCCTTTAATATGGCCATGTTTTTTTTTTAATTCCCGCTGCTTTTTCCTATTTAATACTGTGTGTGTGTAAGCGCTGAATGATAAATCGCGATCGGTGCATGAGTAATAATCATATTGCGATGATCGGTAGCCTACTGCTTTGTTCAAACAACTTGCGATAACATCACCAACTTACTAGACACACTCTATTGTTAGACAAGCTATATTTGGTAATAGTTTATTTTGGATCATTTCATCGAGAGCTATAGTTCGAACTACACAATTAATGACAGTGTATGTGAACGTTCGTTCGAACTATGGTCTTGGGAAAAACCTGTCATTTAACGATAGGTCATGCTATATGTAAGTTCACAATGTCGTTATCTCCGTAGTTCGAACCATGCTTTCGGGAAACACCTGCATCATAATTGCATAGTTCAATCTATGCAAGTTGTTAACATAGTTATCAACTATGCTTTTGGGAAACACACCCTAGTTTGGAATTGGGCCATACTAATTTAGGCAAATGTGTCACAGAAAAACATACAACACTACCAGAGATGGACAAAGTACAGAACTCCATTACTTGAGTCAAAGTACAGAGACTTACGTTCAAAGAATGCGTGTCCACCGCACCAGGTAACGTACTTTTAGTACGTTATTTTCGGTACTTTCCCTTTTCTTATAACTTCCGGTCAAGTACCAGTACCAAAATTTCCAGTCCCTGAAGTGCCAAACCAAAACATTTTCCTTGTTAAAGACTGATTTGTGTGCATGATGTTTCAGAAACCAACCATATAGGCTACGAGTAAAAACAATATAACAGTAATAGGATGCGACAAATGAAGAAACCCAAGCTTAAATAACAAGATCAGGATAGCATGACAAGAAATAAGGTATTTTGTATAATACAGCTTCTAGGACAGCATTTCTATGTTTTTTATGTTCTATTCATTTTTATGAAGCAAAAGACTTAATCATAAATTTCTCACAAACCCATTTAGGAGTGATTTAAACAGCAAGGATGAAAATGAATATGGGTGACTCAAGAACGCATGTGACGCTCTTGCAAAAGCAGGGGAGGTAAACTTTACACTGATTTTGTTTTTTAATGGCAAGACATTATGGCAACAAAAAAAGAAAATGTGCTTTTGCATTTACAGGGCCTAATGACTCAATAAATTCATTCAGGAACCAGTTAGTTCGAAATCCAGTTGAGACATAACATCAGTCCCAACCAACTTGACGGGCAAATCCATTTGACCAACCGCAACATGAAAACTGGGTAAAAAAAACATGAAAACTGGGTTTATAATACTGTTCCGTAGTTAACAGGTAAATATGCAGGAAGTAAGCAGCAACAAAGGAGTAGCGCTTCATTAACACCTAAATTGGTACTATTAACTACTGAGTTATGCTTAATTACTCAATAGGTAATAGTGAACTAATTATTATAGTAGTTCTCTATTACTTCATTAGGAACTATTGAGTATTGCTGGTCTCATTGGGAATTATGTACTAGCTATGGATTATTTCTAATAACTACTAGTTCATTACTCATCAAATGAACAGTGCTCTTTTTTTTGGACTAAGGAACTTCCAGGCTACTGTTCTCAATGGTTTTTGCCATTTTTTTTCCTTTTGGAATAACAGGCTTGTTTCTTCCTACTTGTTTGTATGACATACAACTTATTCTACAAAATATTACTGCTTAAAATATGTATACAGAACCTAGATTTTAATTATTTACCTCACTTCAGTCCGTGTGCCAGTGTTCTTCAAACTGTGCTTTGAAGTCCAACTGAAGGGATGGTCAAACAGAGACTCACAATTAGTTTTATTTAGGTCATTAGTAAGACTTCATTCCTTATTTAAAATGCATACATTAATTTCTTAATGTTTAGAAAAGATCAACAATATGTAGTGGAGCACATCATGTGGCAAAACACGAGTCTCTGTTTGACCATCCCTTCAGTTGGACTTCAAAGCACAGTTTGAAGAATACTGGCACACGGACTGAAGTGAGGTAAATAATTAAAATGTAGGTACTGTATACATATTTTAGGCAGTAATATTTTGTAGAATAAGTTGTATGTCATACAAACAAGTAGGAAGAAACAAGCCTGTTATTCCAAAAGGAAAAAAAATGGCAAAAACCATTGAGAACAGTAGCCTGTAAGTTCCTGTTAGTCCAAAAAAAAAAAGCACTGTTCATTTGATGAGTAATGAACTAGTAGTTATTAGAAATAATCCTTAGCTAGTAAGCACAGACGACTTTGTTTAAAATGTTTACTGGAATTAAACAAATGTTTACATATCTCGACCTGCTTTCTCAAGCAAGGCAGCATTTTTTGTAGCCATTAATTAAGCGGTAAACAAAGCAGACATTTAAAACAATACAAATCTTTTTTCATTTCTAAAATCTAAAACATGGATTTAAGATATGGCCATGGGTGCTCTGTGGAGGAACCTTTATCATTTCGTAGTAGCCATTATTACGACCATTCAGAAGTTAAACTGTTTAAAAAATGTTATTTAAAAAAATGAAGCACACACACTGAACGCAACTGACAGTGTAATATGAAAATTTAATATCACAATTATAGTGACCAAAATTATCACAGTTATCAGTATTATCGTGGCATTGTTAAAACGTGCTGAAAATGTTCAAAAAGTACTGATACATAAACTGAAATCATCTCACCAAGTTTTATATTTAAAACCACCAATAAAATTAGCATCACGATGCACTTTTAGTTTGCATAAACATTAAAATAATAACACGACAAATGTGTAATGTATAGATAAGAAAACCATATCAAATGTGCATTAACTTAAAAAATTTCCGGACAGCTGTTACTGCCTTACACCACGTTATCAGCTGACATGAAACTAACCGATGTTGCATGCTGTGCCTGTGCACCTGTGTCTAAGAGACTTCGTAACTTTGGCTGATGCTGGACAGTATTTAACGTGAGCTTTTCAAAGCATGGTAATCAACTAGGGTTTTAATGTTATCTAAATTATGAAACGGTAATACTAACCGCTGGGAGTTTCACCATGGTTTCCCGTGAAATCAGTAACCGTTTCATCCCTATGTTTGGACTCGTTTACTGTGATTGTTTTTCTTCTGTGATGAACACAATATAACCTATCGCATTTCAGAAGAGTGCTTGAAAGTAATGAGGAACAAGAACCTTCATAGAAATGCAATATTTGTCTTTCAAATGTAGTGGAATAAAAGTTATGTTATCTAAAACAAAATGATACTCAAAGTAGAGATACTCGAAAAATGTACTTAAATACAGTACTCAAGATAATATACTTTTTTACTGTCCACCGCTTAACACAACCAATTTTGTAAATATATATCTCCTTAGTTTGATTTGCATTTATTACAAATTAATTTTAAGTTTGTTTACATTGCCTGTAGCATTTAAGGTAGTGGAGTGGATTCTTCTCTTCGAAGAGGTACCAGAGATTTTCTTTTGCCAGTTTTGTAATTTTTTCTTATCTAAGTAACTATTTCCCTAGATTTGATGAAAAAGATTTAAAACTTTTTATTATTATTATTATTATTATTATTTAATAAATAAATGGTAACATAACAAAACGGATTACCCCACAGGCAAAACTGACAGTTTAGACAATGAAGTTTCATAATTCTAGTCCATCTTCAAACTAATTTTGAAAATTTGTGAAAATTAATGTTACAATAATTAGTTTTTGACATACGTTGTCATATACTCCCTTCCTTGTTAATTCTTCATTAATCTGGGAATCAAGTGTATAAATAGATATGATGATAAGTTTTAATATTAGGCACAATTAATCACAGAAAACCGAGATTTTTTATATAGATTCTCAGCCCTAAAATATATGCTAAATTCTAAAATTCAAAATATATGTGTGTGAAAATGATACATCGCTACACATCGGAAGCATCTTTGCTCTTCTTAATTAAATGTACAATAATAATAATATGATATTTGTAATGTGTAATATGCCTTATTTTCTCTTATTTTGTCTAATATATTGGGTAATACGAGTGTAATTGTCATGACCTGCCTGTATGATCCTCTTGTGTGCCACGTCCCCTTATTAACCACGTGTGCAACCCCGATTGTGACCAGCTTTTTTCTGTTAGTTTAATTGATTCGTCCGGTGTATTTAAGTCCACGTCAGAGTCTGTAACCCCAGGTCTGTCATTGACGTTTTAATGTTACATTTTCCTGTGTCCTGCATTTGGAGTGATTCTAAATAAACCCTTCAATCCTGATTCCATGTCTAGCAATCATAACAGTAATGGTGACTAAAGGGTGTTATTTCATGTCTAGAGGGCTCTAATAATGTTAAAACCCGTATTTAGAAGGCCGTAAACAGGTTTTCTATGCTCTAACTACGAAAATATTCTATTTATAAATAAAAAATCCTACTTCGCGGAAATTCACTTATCGCGGTAGAGTCTGGAACTGATTAACCGCGATAAATGAGGGCCGACTGTGTGTGTGTGTGTGCAGGGACATACCTACACAATGCACACTTGACAAATGCTAATCACAAATGATCAGTGACTTATAACATGCGCATGTATATATAACATGCACCAATGCACCAGAGCAGTGTGTGGCTCTGTGCCCAGAAGGTTGCTGGTTTAAATTCCATGACAGGCAGAGTGGTTTTGTTGGGTCCTTGAGCCCATAAATCCCCAATTACTCCAGGGATTCTCTGAACATGGTTTCTCAACTGTACTTCGCTAAATAAAAGGGTTTGCTAAATAAATATAAGGTATCCAATGTTACACATTTTTTTGAGAAGGCAGGGTCAGCTAGCAGTTATGGTTAAGGGCCTTGATCACAGGCCCAAAGGCAACATCATTCTTCTGGTGTTTGAACAGGCACTCTTTTGATCACAAGCACAGTATCGTAACCTACTAAGCCACATATAACCCACTATATACGCATCTTAAAACATGAGCATGAATGTCTTAGTGTGTTTATATTATATGTGTCTGTCTGTCTTCCCAGAATGATAAATACACAGTGGGGGGATCAGAGAAATTTGATTCCCTGAGTGACCTGGTGGAACACTATAAACGCAAGGGTATTGAGGAGCTTTCAGGAACCTGGGTCTTCCTTAAGCAGGTGAGAATCAGGGCAACCTTGTGACCAGACTCTCAGGTGCATCGTTGACTTAAGCATACCAGGGAAGGGATGTTTTGCTGCTGTAGAAGCATGTCTTTCTTTCAAATTGAACTTTGAGCTGAATGTACTTGTATGTGTGTGACGGTCGTGCCTTTTTCTGCCCGTTCCTGCATCCTCCCCACCCCATTTCATACTGTCTCCATCGCTGCTCTTCGTCAGCCATACTACTCGACCAGGGTGAACGTGTCAGACATCGAGAACCGAGTCAAGGTGCTGGATCAGACAGCGGCGGGCACAGAGAACAGTGGGGACGGTGACAAGAAGAGCAAAGCGGGCTTTTGGGAGGAGTTTGATGTAAGTTGAGTGCAATCTTTGTGGGAGGCTATTGAAGTGCATTAATATTGCATTAGATGGTATTTTAAAAAGGCCAGTAACATATCATGTTTTATGACCATTGTATTAGCACAAAGATCATTTCAGAATATTATGCTACAAAAACAAAACATTAATTGGATTTGTGTTTGGAGTGCAAATAAGGCTATTTTTTTTGTTTCTGTTTTTTCCCTTGATGAATATTTATCACTTTGACTAAGGAAAATCTTCAAAGTTTAGTCTTAGTGTCTTAGTGAAATATCTTTGGAATCAAAAACAAACATTTTTCAGTAAGTGAAGTTTGGATAAAAATCATTTCAAAGAAGTTTTGTTTTAGTTTATCACATACTAATGGTATGTAGTGAGTTAAAAAAAAATCAACGAACGTGACAACTTATATCGTAATATAGTGCTCTTTGTTTTAGTAACGAAACAGTCCACTGTTCACGTTGTTCTGCAGCTGCAGCATTGGGCAGCCATTTTCTCCCCGCGGCAGCAAATGGGTGTTTCTCTCCTCTTTAGACAGACAGGGCTCGGAACGTCTGCTGACAGGAGACGGCACTTAAGAAAGACAAACCTGTCTTATGTTTCCACCTAGTGGCCGATATTTGCATTGCATGTGCTGGCAGTGACATGCCACCTTGGGCCCGCACTGAAAGGAAAGCCCTTCATCTGTTTGTTAACTTCTGCTTGAAATCTAGGCTCTGCAGAAGCATGAAGCCAAGGTAAAGAAGAGCAGAAATGAGGGAATGAGGCCAGAAAACAAGAGCAAAAACCGATACAAGAATATCCTTCCGTGTAAGAATGATATTTTCATAAATGATTTGTATTGAACCAATCCAAAAGGCTTCATCATTATGTATTTGAAAATAAACATATTCACAAACTGTAATCATAATTTTGATACATGTCAGTTAAACCTTTTACCGATCTCCTCCACTTCATCACTTCCAGTTGACGAGACGAGGGTGGCGTTGCATTCACGTGACCCAACCATTGTTGGTTCTGACTACATCAACAGCAACTATGTGAAGGTCAGCCTTCATTGTTTCCTTTTCAAAACATAAAATCTATTGACAGATTTCAATTCAATTATTGTTTTTTATGTTGAAAAATGTGAACATGGAATTGGTCAATGTGTCCGCATGTAAAGGTGGCCATATACTTTAAATGATATCCACACACAATGAAATCAAATATCTCTGTAAGAAAATTCTTTTGCATACTTAAAACTACACTGCCACCTTCTATGTCGCGCCACAAACCTAGAGCACGCACAATGTATTTGATGAAGTAGACCCAAATACAGTGTGCAAAATAATGTATTGTGGTGAGTGGTTTTATTATTTTAATAAAAGAAATAACAGCTCTTTTAAATGGTGGTAGTTCTTTATATTAACAGCCATTATTGGTTTAATAATAGCAATGGCACAGAGAAGAAAACTAACAATTTACACAACACTCTCAGTTACATGCTAACAAAACACATATTCCATGGCAAATATTACACGGTTATGTGTATTACTACTAACAGAAATACATAAATATACATACTAATTCACACTATTTAAAGATAGGTGCAGTGCAGTTCAAAGCATTTCTGTAACTATATACTTAGTTGTGCTGACTTATCCCGCGGCATTACATTTACGTCAGCCAATCGTGGTGAGTGGGTGGGATGAAAGCAAAGTAGTGCCCAAAATGGTGATCATCGTTGTGATTGCACGTCATATTGCCAAAACAATGTTGATTTCGGAAGAAATCAATGGAAACATTGAAACAGCTAATATGTGCTATTAGCAAAATTTTGAGCCACACTTTAATTAGCTGTTTGAAGAACTGCTGTGTTTTTGTGATTCTGTGTCTCTAACTGACCGTCTCCACCTTCACCGTTACCCTTCTGTGTCTGTTTAGAATAAGTTGTGTGACACTGGGAACCCGAAGGTGTACATCGCTACTCAGGGCTGCCTGGCGACCACCGTGAATGACTTCTGGCAGATGGTGTGGCAGGAATGCTCACGAGTGATCGTCATGACAACACGGGAGGTCGAGAAGGGCCGGGTCAGTTCCTCCTCTGTTTTTGCGGTTTCTGTGCTGGTACCAGAAGGCCTGTCTGACAACCACACATGACCTCTTCCTCTAATGTTCCCATGCAGAACAAATGTGTGCCGTACTGGCCTGAGTTGGAAGGCTCCAAAGAGGTTGGCCCATATCTGGTCACGTGTTTGTCAGAAAGAGACGCTTCTGACTACAAGATCCGGGTACTTGAGATCTCACCCTTGGACCAGGTACCCATTGTTGATCCATATTTACAAACGAATGCAATTATCTGCCAGTAGAGGACAAGCAGATGTATGATGGATGTGTTACTGAGCAGGCTGTGTGTCAATTGATGGGTCACACAGCATGGCTCAAGCTGACTAATTCCCTGACTTGCTACCCTGTCGCAGTCTGATGTTCCCCGTCGGATTTGGCACTACCAGTACCTGAGCTGGCCAGACCACGGTGTGCCCCAGGAGCCAGGTGGTGTGCTGAGCTTTCTCACCCAAGTAAATGCCAAACAGATGGAGTTCCACGATGCTGGACCCATGATCATCCACTGCAGGTGAATAAGCCACCTAGTGGCCGACGCCGGCAGCACATCAGCATGTGTTCGCAGCTAACATCCCTTCTGATCTCTGTGCACATATTTTTCTGTTGACTTTCAGTGCTGGAATTGGTCGCACTGGAACCATATTGGTCATTGACATGTTGGTAGACATCATTGATGCTAAAGGTAGTGTATATGTATTTTTTTCAGTGGAATATTAAATAATACAGACTGTCCCCCACTTACTAGCACATACAACCAAAGTTTTTATTTCTTTTTAATTAAGTTTATATATGTAAATTTTGGGTGCCTGTACGCCTGGCAGCACTATGCTACTGTACAATAGTTGCCTCTGGAAAATACTGTCCTGAATGGCAGCACAACCTCACACACATATCCCAGTCTGTCTGACACCTAAAAGTCAGAGTAATTTTCCTATTCTGATATACAGCCATGGAAAAAAAATGAGACCACTCTACTTGTTTAAATTAATTAGCATTTTAAAATCCTGGTTTAATCGTGGATCTGCTGGCAGAAGACTATGCTGAGCAGCAAGTTGCTTCCAGGTTCAAAATTCCAGGTTCAGTACACAAGAATAAGGTGAAGCAGGAGACACTGGGAACTACGTTCTAATTCCAGAGATGACTGTTAACTTATCCGACAGTTCCTAATGAATCATAAAATGACATCAAGTGACCTTCAAACGGAATGAGAAACATTACATGCAGGTGTGAAGCGCACTGCTAGGACAGTTTGTATCAGGCTCCTAGAAGCAGGACTGAAGTCCCATAGAGCAAGGAAGAGACCTTTCATTAATGGGAAACAGAGAAGAGCCAGGCGCTATATATATTTAATCATTTAATATTTGATAACGTACAATACCACATAAATTTAGACAAGGAAAGTCATTCCAGTAGCATGATTTTCCACTGTTGGTGGCAGAAGAGGCCTGATCCCTGAGCACCTGGGACTGATACTGACCTTAACACCTCATAGGCATGGACTGTGACATCGACATCTCCAAGGCCATCCTGATGGTGCGGGAGCAGCGATCTGGCATGGTCCAGACGGAGGCTCAGTACAAGTTCATCTACCTAGCCATGTTGCAGTACATCGAGACCACAAAGACCAAGTTGCATGCCAGCAAGGTGGGGCTGGAAGGGCTGGAAAATAAATCACACCAAAAATTCAGCAGAAACTAGTACACAAGTTCTAACTCTTCCCATCCTAAGATGCTCTTCAGAAACCTTTGAAGCGATTGTTTACTTCAAAAGGCACTATGTGCAAATGGATAGATAGCAAAAGACCTATCGATCAATTTAAGAGCTCATCCATTAACATCAGTGTCTTTGCCCTGATCTCAGGAACTCGAGACTGAGTACGGCAACCTGTCTCTGCAGCCGAAGCACCAGAAAGCCAGCCGCAAAGTCTCCAAGTGAGGGCAGCCGCCGCTCTGGCTGTGCGTGTGGCCTATGCATGCCGAACTCAGCAGCCCCTCCCACCAGTGCTCTACTCAGGGCAACATTCTCCCGGTCACAGCCATCTTATATAAGCAATCTGGGAGCCACACTAGACATTGTGCAGTGTTTCTGCCTTTGCGGGGGGGGGGGGAGAGAATGTATTCATGTCTTATCATATCCTTGTCTGTCAAAGTTCACATGCAAAACTCAAACACTAGTTTAATTTTCCCATTATTATTTTTATTATTATTATTATTATTAGTAGTAGTAGTAGTAGTAGTAGTAGTATTACAATGCTGCTACTGCAGGTGGCACAGTAATTGAAATTGAGCCTTCAAAAACATTACATCTCTTTCAGCAATAAGGAAGACGTGTATGAGAATCTCGGCATGAAGGGGAAGAAAGACGTGAAGAAGCAGAAGTCACAAGAGAAGAAGAGTGGCTCTGTGCGGAAAAAATAGGCTCCAAGGAAGTGACGAATACCCGATCGAAGGTTTAAGCCCGACAATTATGAGGCTTACAAATATATTTTCAGTCAGTACAGTTTATATATGAGGAATCTGTCAAACTAAAACGATTTTATTTTCAGTAGCTTTAAGATGTATTTTTCCCTTAAGTTAAGATTGTATCGAATAGACACAAATATGATCATTACGGCATTTTATGCTTTTTGTACTTGTTCGGGGAGTTGTGGGTTGAGTGTTTGCAAATAAAGACGTGTGAAAACTATTATAGTAAAAATAATTTATCAGAGCTTATAACTAATGACACATTTGTGACAACTGGTTAATATTTGCTAACAGAAGTCAGCAGCGACAAGTCTCGGGCTAAACAAAATGCGAAAAGCAAAACGGACCATTGAGAGCGCTGATAATTCATGATAATTCAGTCCCTTATATGCATCCGCGCTGTTACCATTCAGTGACACTGATTCCCCAGATACATCTCATATGTGGCTTACAAAAAATAAATGTTTTGTTCATTGGCTTCTTAGACGACTTCGACCGGATCTGCCGTATGCAGTATCCCACCTCCCTCAAAAATAAAATACAAATGAAAAAACGAAGTCTATTTTCATAAAACAAGGCTAACAGAGGGCAAAAAGGGGACAACTAATTAGTGGTGCACCCCCGCGCCAAAAAAAGCACCAACGCGCACAGAAAAAAATTGCCTCAAGGGTTAATTCTGCCACAATGTTCTGTGAACAGTGGGAGGCTGGGGTGGAGTTACATTTCTGCACTTCATAAAGGAAGAGCTTGGAAAACGACACTTTGTGTCGGACAATTAAGTGGAGGCCGCTCGTGGAGAGGAAAAAACAGTTTGCTGTAAGTTTGCGTCTTTCGCTTTCCCGATAGACTGTGAAAAATCGCACTTAATTCTCTTCAAAACCTGAACTTTAATCGGGCTAAGTATTAAACTAGACGGTGGTGCATATAAAGTAAGTCACAAGGGAACAAAGATAACGATAGACGAGATAAAAAAAAAAAAAAAAGCAATCGGAACAAGTTCGGCAGGTTCATCTTTCAGCAAGAAAGGGCGAGAAGTCGTAGAAATCAAGAGAAGAAATACTTTGAAGCGAAGGATGACACCAAATCTAACAGGCTTCTACAAGATGGTCTCTCAGGAGAATATGGATGCTTACCTACAAGCACTAGGTATTTTTTTCTTTTCTTCTTTTTTTAATGTATTGCAATTCAGTTATTGCAAAAAACAAAAACGACCTTGAATTTGCAGCAAAGATGTTATGTAATATATTTATATTTTCACTGATCTGTCTCATATTTTTTGTAAATGAATATCCTGCAGAATCTGTTGATTATATTTCTCTCTGTATCTCCCCCTTTGTTTGCCATTATTGAATTGGGTTATTTGGCCAGTATTGAAGCGCAGTAAATGGGGTGGACACCCGAAATGATCCAGGAAACCCAGTGGACGAGCAAAAGGGTGCTGGCACATCCCAGCAGAGATTTTAGTATTTCTAGTTTCACCTCTGGGACAATATATAATGTCTGCACCATACCCAAGACAGTTTAATTGTACCAATGTATTATTTTGCAGCTTTTTTATCAGACATGGGTGCCTTGGTGTATTTCCTGATATTGATGTTCTTTCTCCTTTAGATATTAATATTGCTTTGCGAAAGATAGTTTGCCTACTGAAGCCTAACAAAGAGATTATCCATGACCCTGACACTGGTCACATGATCATCCGTACTCTCACCACCTTTCGCAACTTCAATATGGACTTCACCCTCGGACAGGAGTTTTCAGAGGACCTCGGCCCCGTGGATGGACGAATGTGTCAGGTGTGTGAGAGGCGCCTCTACCCTGAACCAAAGGTGTTCAGCTGTGCCCAGTATGGAGGCTGAACCTGGGCCAAAAAAAAAGATCAAGGTGTCTCCTCCTAGTGAGCGTATAGTTGGTTGGTTGTTTGGTCTTACACACCCTTCCTGTTGTATCTGTGCAGACCACGGTGGACTGGGAGGGGAACAAACTGGTGTGTGTGCAGAAGGGAGAGAAGGAGAACAGGGGATGGACTCATTGGCTGGAGGGGGATCTGCTGCACCTGGTGAGATATGGTTGCGGACAGGGAAGAGGAAGGGGGAAAAGGCAGGAGCGCATCAGATAGCTCATCTAAATCTAAGCTTTGTTAAAGCTAATCAGTTCTCACTCTACTGCATGTACGCTTATTCACCTGACAGACACCATGTACTGACTAAATTCAGTTATTATATGGTCTGTTTTGTTTTTTTTGAAGAAATGTGTTTATTCTGAAAAGCAAATCAAAATCCTCCAGTAGTAGTTTTCTTTAGGCTTTAGTCTGTAGACCAAACAGCTGCTCCATTTTCTCAGTGAGTGAGTGAGTGAGTGAGAGAGTGTCTGAGTTAGTGTTGAATCAGTGGTTAGAATGGATGCATGGGAGTTAGATTGGAGATTTTAAAGGAATGCAGATTTGGAGGGGTCAGATTAAGGACATGGGGGGTGGGGTGTGATGGAACAGGAGGGGGGAGAGAGAGACTTTCATGATCACTGTGTCAATGACTGCCTTTTGGCTGTTTGTCTTCCACTTTGCACATTTCTTCCTTCTCTTCCCCAGGAGATGAGGGTGCAAGATGTGGTTGCCAAGCAGGTGTTCAGGAAGGTGCAGTAGGGGGCACTGTCACAAGGAGGGACTTGGGGACAGGCAGTAAGACTGATGCTGTACACTCCCATGAGCCACACATAACATTCAGAGCCTATTAAGGCTCCTCAGATTGCTAGCAGTTAAATGGCCTGATTTCCATACTTTAATACATTAATATTTATAGGCTACATGGGATATTTCATTTGAAGAAGGTGGCATTTAGCTGAATACTTTTGGTACTTCATTCTGCTCAAACAAAGTCCTACATCTCATTGACAGCCTCATACCTATTTGCAAGCTTCATTAAAAATCTAGTCATATCTTATGTTCATGCTTTAGCTGATATGCTAAATTGGATTACATTACTGTAATGTTTCTGTAATTAAGTTTCACATTGGTCCTGCTGTATTCCTTTACTGTATGACACAGTGTTTCCCAATCCGGTCTTCGGGGACCTCTAGACTGTCCATGTTTTTGCTCCCTCCATACTGAGTTGGGAACATCTAATATGTCGTTGTGTTTTGCATAGGCATCACATTCCCAGAGTGTTTTTTTTTGTATTAATGCTACTGCTATTCATGAACTTTTCTGAAAAGGTAAAAAAATATATATATAAAGCAGAAGTATTTCCTGGATTTTTATTGACCATATTTTACTTAACGTTCGTTTGAATTTCTTTGTCTTTTGCCTCTTGTTCTGCTTCTTTCATTAAATTATGTGACTCAAGTTTTATCATGACACATAGTTCTCTGTCGGTCTACTAGATGGGGATTTATGAGCAGTTGATAATAATTTATCGTTGTCCTCTGTTTTCATTATAGGTCTTGATTTATCGTTGAAATAAATTTGTTTTAGAGTCTTTATATCCTGGGGGTTGGTAATGTAAAGCAATTAATTTATATTATGATGAAGAAATATGTAACCAGTCCACAAATATCTATGAGTCTGCAATTTTGCTTTTCTTCTCTTAACTTGGTTTTCACAGAAGGGCAAAAGATACAGAGGGACATGCACAGGCGTAAATTCCGGGGGGGACGGGGGGGTCAGGACCCCTCCCCTTCATGTGGACTGTTCCCCCCATGCAGTCAAGTGAAAAAGAAAGTACACCCTCTTTCAATTCTATAGTTTTATGTATAAGGACATAATAAAAAATCATGTGGTCCTTAGCAGGTTTTAAAATTAGGTAAATGCAACTTCAGGTGAACAACAACACATGACATATTACACGGTGTCATTATTTATTTAACAAAAATTAAGCCAAAATGCAGAAGCAGCGTGTGAAAAACTCTGCTTCCATAGGTCAGTCAAAGTCCAGACCTCAACCCAATTGAAATGCTGTGGCGGGACCTTAAGAGAGCTGTGTATAAATGTCCACAAACCTCAATGAACTGAAGCAACATTGTAAAATGTTGAGAGGGTCAAAATTCCTCCACAATCATGTGAGAGACTGATAGTTATACAGAAAATGATTACTTCAAGATATTGCTGCTAAAGGTGGTTCTACAAGTTTTTGAATCATGGGTTGTTCTTTGTTTTTCACACATGGCTTCTCCATTTTGGCTTAATTTTTGTTAAATATATAACGATGCAGTGGAACATGTTGTGTGTTGTTTTATACCTGAGGTTAAATTTAAATATGTTTAGAACCTGGTAAGGACCAGAAGATTTTTTTATTATGTCCTGATACATAACACCGTAAAACTAAGGGCAGTGGTGGCTTGATGGTTAAGGAAGCGCACTTGTAATTGAAAGATTGCAGGTTCGAATCCCCGACCAGCAAGGCACCACTGAGGTACCCTGAGCAAGGTACTGTTCCCCGGGCACTGAATTAGCTGCCCCCTGCTATGTCACAAAAGTCACATATGGGTTAAATGCAGAGGACACATTTTGTTCTTGTGTGCTGTGGTGTGTTGACAATGACCACTAATCACCTAGTTCTAATTTAGAGCTGAAAGATTATTTGTTTTTCACATGAATGTATATCATTGAAAACCGAACTAAGTAATTTGGAATAATATGTACTGAAAGCGGGGCAGCACAGTGGTGCAGTGGTTAGCACTGTCGCCTCACAGCAAGAAGATCCTGGGATCACCCAGGGTGCCTTTTGCATGTTCTCTCCCTCACAGTGGTTTGGTCCAATCCTATGCTGCATTCCATTTGAACTTGTAACTTTCCTAGTTAGAAATTCCTAGTCAGAAATTTCAACTGGATCGCTCCCTCAGGTCGGAATTCCAACTTGTGAATTGGAGGAATCGACACAACCCCGAGGTCTGAATTCAAGATGGCCGCAACCTAAGTCAATAGAAGTTAATGCTGTAGTTTTATACTTTTTATTAGCACGTCTTATTTGTGGCTCATTAAATCGGTCGCACACCCAGTAATGTCCAACTGCTCTCTGTGGACGTGTCGCTATGCAAAATACCGCGTAATGTATTGTTATCCACTGATATTGCTAACAATAGCTGACAAGTGACCAGGGTACAATTGGGGCCCATTTCATTAAGCAGGATTTCTTGCTTAAGCAGACAAGTTATCGGATACTTAAGGTACTCTGGGCTAAATGTAAGTGAATGAAGATGAATTTAGGCTGTTTAAACTGGGGGAAATTAAATCCGATGAGTTATCCAGGTAAACAAGAAATCTTGCAGTTTGAAACGGGTCCCCGGTTCTGCTAAATGGCTTTGCCACTTCCTGTACTGGAACACTGTTAACTCGTATGTGACATCATTCCCAGTTCCCAGTTCCGACCTCCGAGGTAAATGGAATGCAGCGCTACTACCACACACATACAGTCCTGGTCAGGATTATTGGCACCCCTCAACTGTAAGTACAGAATGTAGAATATCTTTAGAGATAAATGCAAATGAACCAGTTTTGTATAATCAGAATATTTGATAAAATGTCCAAAGTTATTCAACAACAACAAAAAGGTTTCATATAGTGAAATACAAATATAGATATAAAATGTACTCTGGACACAATTATTGGCACCTTTTTATGATTCTAAATTACAGTGGTACCTCAGTTCTCGAACTCATTAGAACTCGAATTTCTTAAAAGTTGAACCAACCAGTTCAGAAAAAAAAAAAAAACCTAGAACTCGATCTGAATCTCAGAAGTCAAACCTAAGATAACTTGTACACGCTGGGAAATGAGTCACGCGGCACGTCTCTCAGCGGAAACAAAGGGTAACGCTTCAGTCTCAGCCTCGCATTCGCTGTGATAGCATCGTGCATGTTTACACTAGCTGAATACATATTTAGAAAGTAAAAATACATTTAGACAATGATGGACAGTAACAATAATTATTATTATATAATAAAATACATTTAAAAATAAAGATTTCTTATTAATTATTTTAGTATTAATAATAAACCATTAATAAATTTAATTATAATAATATTGCCGTGCCCAGCGAGGATGGAACGGAGACAAAGGCACAGATGTCAGGGTATCGGGGAATACGGGGTTTAATTACAGGTAAGGCAGGCAAAACGCAGACGGACAGTACAATGACCGGACTGGGGAAACAAACTGAAACGCGGACTAAATACAGAGGACTAATGACAACAACCAGAAACAGCTGATCACACGGGGATTGCACACGGTGTTAACGAGGGGGCGTGGCACACAGAAGGAGCAGGCGATCGGGGCATGACACATTGTTTATTTTTTTTAACTTTACACATTGTTTAGATACATTTATTTTCTTACTTTAAAAATGACTGTTTTGATAAATTTGCTTAGATGTGTTTAGTACAGGTTTGCATGTTCTCCCCGTGTCGTCGTGGGGTTTCCTCTGGGTACTCCGGTTTCCCCCCACAGTCCAAAGACATGCTGAGGCTAATTGGCGTTGCTAAATTGCCCTTAGGTGTGCATGTGTGAGTGAATGGTGTGCGAGTGTGCCCTGCGATGGGCTGGCCCCCCATCCAGGGTTGTTCCCTGCCTCGTGCCCGTTGCTTCCGGGATAGGCTCCGGACCCCCCGCGACCCAGTAGGATAAGCGGGTTGGACAATGGATGGANCTAAATTGCCCTTAGGTGTGCATGTGTGAGTGAATGGTGTGCGAGTGTGCCCTGCGATGGGCTGGCCCCCCATCCAGGGTTGTTCCCTGCCTCGTGCCCGTTGCTTCCGGGATAGGCTCCGGACCCCCCGCGACCCAGTAGGATAAGCGGGTTGGACAATGGATGGATGGATGGATGGATGTTTAGTACAGGATATGCTTTTCTTGTTTTGTCGAGTTCATTTTGTGTTTAAATGCTAAAAAAACACATTTTGGTGTAATTTTTTGGGGCCGGGAACCAATTAATTGATTTTCCATTATTTCTTATGGGGAAAATTCGATCAGAACTCGAACTTTTTAGGATTCGATCCAGAGTTGTGAACAGATTAATTTCGAGTTCTGAGGTACCACTGTATTTCCTCAAACAAACTAGGAAATAAGTAAGACTCACCTGTGCTTAATCTTCATTGTGCATATGACCTGAATTAAGCCATAAATGATCATTTTACTGCATTTAAAGGGACTGATTGCTTCCAGTTTCTTCACAATGGCAACGACAAGAGAGCTGCCTGAGAACATCAGAACTGCTATTTTCAAAAAGCATAACATTCCGAAAAGGCAATCGCCAAAAAACTTGAAATCCCTGTTTCAACAGTTCGTAACGTTATCAAGAAGTTTTACAGTCATAAAACTGTTAAGATGCTTTTAGGAGGTGGTGCTAAGAAGAAACTCAATGAGAGAAGCCTCTGAAGGTTGGTGCGGATTGTGGAAAAAACACAACGCAAGACGTCTAGAATAGAATAGAGTAGAATAGCCACTTTTATTGTCATTCAGAAATACACCGGTTAGTGCACAACAGAATGAAATTTCATTGCATTTTATGCTCACCATACAGATATATTAACCGCAGTATAGCAGCAAAAAACCAGTGTACATCACTGTATCGGTTTAGTGCAAGACATATAGTGCATAAAGTTCTTGAAAAGTGACATGTGCATGGATGGAGAGAGGCGGAGTGTGAAGCTCTAAAGAGCTTCAGGCTGACCTGGAGCAACTGGAGTGGTGCTTTCTGACCGTACAATATGCCACACACTAAATTAAGCAGAACTGTATGGGAGAAGGCCAAGGAGGACATCGCTATTGAAAGAATGGCACAAAAAGGCAAGACTTAGGTTTGCAAAAACTTTCTTAGATAAACCACAATCTCCATCCATCCATCCATCAATTCTCTGCTGCTCTTCCAGGGTCGGGTCCTGGGGGCAGCAATCTAAGCAGAGATGCCGAGACCTCCCTCTCGCCAGCCACCTCCTCCAGGGAAATACTAAGGTGTTCCTAGGCCAGCCGAGAAATATAATCTCTCCATCGTGTCCTGGATCTGTTCCGGGGCCTCCTCTCGGTTAAACATGCCTGATACACCTCCCCAGGGAGCCGTCCAGGAGGCATCCTAGATAGCGGCTCTACTTTCAGCCCCTCCCAAATTTCCAAGTTCCTCATTCTCACTCCAAGGCTGTGCTCAGACACCCTACAGAGGAAACTCATCTCTGCTGCTTGTATCCGCAACCTCACCCTTTTGGTCACTGCCCAGCAGACTTTTTTCGACAGACCGATCATAGGTTACCAAAACTGGCTCTCGGCACATGGAAGCCACAATCTTTCTGGAATAATGTTCTATGGATAGATGAAACCAAAGTAGAGCTCTTTGGGAATCTAGTGCAGCAGTTTGT